CTTTCCACCCACTCTTTGCAATGCTGCCTGAGCCTTAGAGTGAGGGACTGTATTTTAGATGTTCCATTGGGATTGAGCTCCATAAAACTCTGCATTTTGATTGGTTTTGGTTTTCTGTAATGACTTCCACACACTGTGACTTTAATTTGTATTTTGCTAATGACTGATGATATGAACATCTTTTTGTGTGTTTTTATGTTATAATTTAATTTTAAGAGGGCTTTTTTGTTGTTGTTTTTATTCATGTGTGTGCATGTGTAATTCCAATGCCTGTAAAGGCTGGAAGAAGGCACCAGATGCCCATAGCTAGAGTTCTGACCAGTTATGAGCTGCTTACAGTGGGTGCTAGGAACCAAATTCCCATCCTCTGCAAGAGCAGGGGGTGCTCTTAACTGTTGAACCTTTTCTTCAGCCCCTAAACTTCATTTTAAAATGGCTCCTTGTTTCTTTATCTATAGCCTAATTGGGTGTTTAACTGCTTTAAGAGGATGTCCTTTATCAGAAAACTGACCAAAAGCATTTCCATCCACTCTAGAGGAGAGTCTCTTATCTTCTTCTCAACACAATCTTGCATATACAAAAGCAAATGTTTTAAATTTCATGGAGAAAAAATTCCTCTTCTCCCCCCCTAAATTTTATGGTCATATTTTGATTTGGTGTTGAAAAATTCACATAACCCCACATTACAATAATTTTTGTCATCTAAAAGCCTTATCGTTGCTGTAGGAACTCCTTCAGCCAATCGCCTTTAAGATACCAGCCCACTTTGGGCATGATCTCAAGTACTATAAATGCAGACAAAAAGCATGCCGGGCATCTTGGCTGCTAGATTCAGTTCCAGTTCCCAGCGTATGCAGAGAACTGTGTGAGGATCACGACTATTTCTGTGAGTTTAGCCCCTAATAAATAAACCTTTGTTATACTCCATTCCAGGCTATTTTGGAACTCTTTTGCATGCCAACATATAGTTTTACACTTCATACATAAATCTATGATTCACTTTTAATTAATTCTTACGTAAAATATGAGACTTAAGTTGAGGTTTCTGATTTTGCCCATGGTGTCTATTCCTTTTAAAAAGCACCTTTTATTTCTAGTTTTGTTTTTGTTTGTAAAAAAAGAACTTCTTTTCCTTCATTAAATTGCTTTTGCACGTCTGTCTAAATTCAATTGGGTATATTAGTCTATTTCTGGGTTTTTTAATTCTGTTCCATTGATCCAGGTGTCTCTCCTCTGTCAATACAATGCCTTGATTATTGTTGCTATAAAAAGAAGTCTTAAAATAGAGTAGAATAATTACTCCCACTTCATTATTTTTCCAAAATTGCTTCAACTCTTCTAGTTTCTGTACCTTTATACATAAACTGGAAAGAAAATTTGCTGCAGTCTTGATAGGAATTGCACTAAACCTACATATCGATTTGGAGAGAGCAGACTTTATAAGCTGAACCCTCTGATCTGCAGCAGTCTCTCCAGCTGCCCAGCTCCTCTTCCACTGACACTCTCCAGCACTTATTAGATCTGTGCCTGAGCATTATTGGGGCTTCGTGAGTACATTGTGTTTTTAACTTTGGATACTATGTGCTTATTGCTAGGTTATAGAAACATGACAATAGGTAGGGAAAGAATCTCGTATCCTACTTATCCTGGAGAGTTTACCATTTAGTTCTGAGCACTTTTGTGGGTGTTTCATTGGGTTTTTGTTCCGACTACTTGGCATTTCCTACATAGCTAATCATGTTATACAAAAATATGGCAATTTTACATTGTTCTTTGCAACATAACTGTCTCAGAAAGTGAAGATGGTGGTGGTGGTGGTGGTGACGATGATATATGCCTGATATAAGATATAAGCCTAGAGTAGTTAGAAAGTCTCTTACTGTAGATGGAAAGACTACATTAGAAAATAAAGCTAGACAAAAAGAAGCCAACTCCAAACACTATGTAACTGGTTCAAACGGGTCAAAAAATACTACACTGTAGTATTTTCAGTTACCCCACCTAACAAACACGGTTCATCTCAGGCAAGTTTGAACCGTGCCCCCTTCATTTGAATTGAAAATTTTCATTGATCTGTGGATAAAATCATAACGTTTAACGTTGAAATGAAGCTCCAATTACTTCCTCTAGCGCATGGCCATTAATAGCATGAAATATTCAATACGTCTTTAGGATAGAGTGTGACTATAGGTTAACAACTGTGGTATATGTAACAATCATCATGTTATAAAATCAAGCAAGTTGGAGTTTATTTAGATGTCTTCCCCCAGTCATCCTAAAATGTTACTGAACAATGAAAGAACAAAAAGAAAAGAAAAGAAAATTCCCCCAGCACCACCTCCAAAACATTCTAATCACAAAGAATATTTTGGTCAGCAGGTGCCCAAATTTGTATCTAATGTAAGAATATTTCCCCAAATATTAGAGAATTACTCTAAGATCAGCTTGAGGAAAAGTCAACTAGACAAAGCCAAAACTCCCAAGGGGTCATATTTAACTAATTAGGGAGGAGGTGATTAAAATGGAGCTGCTAATTGTCTACTATGCTCTCAGCAGTGGGAGACAAAATTACACCTCGTGTTACTGTCAATTATGCAGTCCTCATTTGTCTGTATTTATCTTTCCCTTTAGGACACTGAAAAGCACACAGAGGTGTAGTCTCCAACACAAGTTAGACGTTCCTCTGAGGCAACAGGTTTATAGAATGTTTAGAGACAGAATTATCTTGTGTTTAGACTTGCTATTAATATGTGTACATTCTGGAGCAAAAAAAAAAAAAAAAGATGCTTGTTTTCAAGGTTACACTTCCCATCTGCACAGGACAGGTGTTAACTTATGGGAAGACTGAAGAATCTTCTAGTAAGGGGTCAATTGCACACAGGCGCAGAACAAGTACCAAGTAGGGGTAGGTAGAAAAGGAGGCTTAAAATGGTGGTGAGGCAGTATTAGAAGTTGAGCTCGGGGCAGCAAGGAATGTGTTTTTGTTGTTGCTTTATTTTGTTTTGGTTTTGTTTAACTCATAACAAGAATATCATGCAATGATGGGACTTATCACCCCAGGGACTATCTATTGTGAGTTTGGGGAGTTATTCAAATGAGCCAGAGAAAATAAGTACTGCAAAAATAACTAGGCATAAACCCTTAGTCTGAAAATATATCTATATTAGAGATGAAACCTAAATTTATTTAGGTATAGACTTCAGCTACGCCACCATAGTGGAGACTGCCAGACATCCGCAGCATCCTCTCTCCTCTTATTCTCTGAGGTGCACTGGGTGCTGACTGGCAGGGCCAATGGCTACCTATGTGTATCTGGATTTCTCCATTCTCTTCTGAGGGCAGATATGGCCACTTCATGTTTACTAAAGGAAGAAGCAAGTACTTCACAATGCTTTGCCTGGATGCTTCCAACTTTCAAGCTGGGCCAGGGCAATGACAGGACAACCCAGGAAACCATGGGTCTGGGCAGCAGAGCAATCATACTGGGTGTGAGCCCAGGTGAGAGCTCTGACTGGAACACACTTCCATCCACATGTGCTTCTACATGTCAAGTCTCTTCAGTGTATAGCATCCTGGCCTGTGCTCTACAAAGATAGTCACCTATCATCTGTAAGCTTGCAGTGAGCTACCTAATCCCTCTAAATCTATTTTCTCATCTATAAAATAAAAATCACAACACCTATTTCGTAAGATTGTAAGAAATAAGAAGAATTTAAATTATTAAATCCTATAAGACAGTGCTCAGTTGATGGTGGATGATGCCAACAAAGATGAAGGTTCCAAGAAGCTCCTTTTGAGGATATGGCAGTTCTTACTATGACATCTTACAGGGATAACGGTGCATCTGCTTTGGGGGTATTTCTATGGATGACAATGCATACAGGACAAAATGAGGCTATCTTATATTTTGGCCCCAAAAAAGAATTCAGATTAAACAGTTGTTTCATTATAGTTTATCCAACTTTGCCTCATCTTTAAGTAGTTAATGTGGATATGTATTACTAAAAGTTATAAGAACACTAGTTATTGCTTGTGCTTTGTTGACTAGATTAAGTCCTGTGTTTATATAATAAAGCTGGGAGAACAGCACATTCCTCCATACTGCCAGATCACCCCACCAGCAAGGCGAGGAAAGAGCCACAAATGAACTGAGATCATCTGCCAGGGGCAAAGGCTTGATGCACAGTGTTCTGTAGGCAAGAGTATCAGGCACACATTTCCCCCTTTGGATCATGCCTTTATACATGTAAAAACTTTTTATCTTTTATGATGAAATAGTTATACTTGACTCTTAGGATTTTTTGTGACCTTAATATTGTAAAACTGTAGTTGAGATTCTCAGCATCAAGATAAAACGGACTGTTCTGGGACTTACCCCAGGGCTCTCAGATGGGTTCTACATGTCACATGTTGCATAACAACCACAAGATCACAAAACCCTGCTGAGGCCAGCATCTCTGAAATGGGAGCACAGATCACGTCACCAGGCTTAACTGCTTCCATCTACCCTGATAATGTCCCGCTGCTCACCATGAGAAGTGAATCACCATAGCGATGGGAAACCTAATCAGATGGCCATGATAAAATGCTGTGTCGCCTACGTATGCTTTTACAACCGTATATCCAGTTAAAAGCATCTGGGTTCATGCGTTACAGCCTACCTTGTGGATGCAGCATATAGTCACTGTCCACTCAGTAATCCAGACTGCTCTGCCTCCTCTAAGAGGCCCAGAAACAATACACTTGTGTCTATAATGGGGTAGACCTGCTGGACCATCACACAGAACTTCTACCTTAGGAGTTATGGCCAAAACTTAAGAATTACATACACATAGAAGCAACTGCAGTATCTACAAACATCAATCTACAAATAAAAAAAAATGCCCCTGGGACATTGGTTTCAAAGACTCAGTGCTTTAGAGCACCAGCAAAAACCTCTCAGTGGGGAAGCAGCGCACCACTCAGTCTTCATTGTTCCACTTCCCTGAATTGTTACTTACAGGTTCCCGGCCATCCATGGCTTCCATCCAGAGCCGACGGTCCTCTTCCGACAACGCCTGCATGGTGATAACCCCTGGCCTACAGAGAAAGGAAAGACATAGGCATGACCCCAGTGCCACACGAGACACACTAGCAAAAACGAACGTTTGAGAAATACCTGCTTATCAGAGTGAGAGGCTGGGGCCGACTGCGCGAGCAGAGGCACCGCCAGCTCCACACGCCCTTTTCAGCATGCCCGTCTCTCTCAGAGGGACAGGAGACAGAGGCAGAGGACATAAATTATTAACTCCCTGGTCCCGTTAGAGCTGCTTTGCTCCTTGGTCTGTAACCCATTTTCTTAACAGGGAGTTTTACTTAAAGAGGAAATGCAGTAAGTATTTCCTAAAGTGAACTGAGTTGACTCTGGATAAAAAGAGACATATCCGTTTTTTTTTAATACTTCATATTCCTTGGTATCAAATCCAATGTTTCTAAACTGCTGTAGTCACCAAATTTTGTGAAGTGACTTGGCTTGGCAATTACAATTAGATTGAATGTATGTAAATTCTTTTCATGACGGCCCACATGCCAGGAGCTGACTGCCGCACAGGTGTTCACTTTTCGTGCTCTCATTGAAATGTACTTGCTTTCCACAATGAACATAAGCCCTCGGGACAGTCCACACAGCATCAAACCCTGCCTCCTTTGCAAATGGCACTCCTCACAGCCAGCCTGGGCAATAAAATGACACGAGGAGCATGTCATGCACTCCTTAAGGTAGGGCATCTTTAGCCGACATTGGTCCCACAATAACCACAAACCTTTTTCCCCCTCCAAACATATGTGCATTCTGTTGAAACAATTTAATGTCTATCAAACTGATAAAGAGCACAGAAACCCTCAAAACTCACAGCACCAAGGATCCCACCTCTAGTTAAGGAGTTTGGGCAGCTGATGGCTCCTGGAAGGAGTCCCACCCATGCAGCCCACATGATGAGGCCCCTATAGATTGCCTGTGTTCTAATGGTCAGCCCTACACCATACACACAATGACAGCACTCAGTGGGATTAAAATGCATACATGAAGTTGTCCGAGAAAAGTAGTTGGGGGAGGAGGGATATGAAAGGGCCCCGGGGTAGGGGAAGGTTCAAGGGTGAATTTGATCAAAACACATTGTGTACATGTATAAATTCCTCAAACAATAAATTAAAAATATAGTTTAAGACTAGCTCTTTTAAACCCTCATCTTCAAAATTTGAGAAATCCTGAAAGACACAGAGAGATTGACCAGGAACTAAAGTCCAGTTGCCCTCTGTGCCCACATGCATTCAGTGTGGTACTAAACCACACAAGACAAGGATCAAGGCACCTGGCACATTCATGCCGATCCCCATCATCTCTGTTCAATTAACAGGATGCACCTAAAGATGTTTAAACACACGGTTGTGTCTTTCCACCCACCATCCCTCAGTGCCGGCCACACTACACTTTGCAGAGCTATAACGGTGAAAGTACAAAGGTGGGAAATTCAAGGAGACCGAGGTGGAAAGGGCTGGGAAGAGGAAAGGGGAGTAGGAGAGGAGACGCCCTCACAAGCAAGAAAGGCAGAAGCAGGCAGGAAGGGTAGGAATGTGAGGGTTAGAATAGGTGAGGGTTGAGGATTAAAGACATGAATTTCTGAGAAGGAAACTGGGTACCATCCCCGTAAGAGAGGAGTGAATAAAAGACAGACTAAGTCCTCTCCCCAAGCAACTGCTGGGCTTCTCCCTCCCTGGTCTCAGCAGCCCATTTGTGCCTGACTACCCATGTAGCAATAGACTGCTCACAGCTGTGGCTCCACAGAATGGAGCCTGTGGCCTGGAGGCAGAGCAGCTTTGATGTTCCCTTTCCACCTTTCCCAACCAAGCGCACCGTGCTGTGAAATCCACACCTTAGGAAGCACAGCCTGCTGCAAAGTCCTCAAGGCCCTGGCTTTCCTCCTCTGGGGGCTGCTCTACTTGCTTTGTTTGCTTTTGTTTGTTTGCTGGTGTTACCCTTTTCAGTCCAGCAATCCATCTTTAAAAAAAAATGTAGATCCCAGCCCAAGCCCACCGTACTGATGCTGAACTTCCAAGCAGGGCCTGGGAAACCAAGAGTTAAACCAACTCTCCTGATGATCCTGTGTGTGCCTATGTCTAAGGCCCACACCCTTGTGCATCCCCACCCTTGTCCTTCTGGGTCCCCCTGCACTGCAGTACTAACACCCTCCTCTCCCCACTGGGAGTCAAGCAGCCAACACACCTCCAATGCCTTCCCTGCAAGGAAATAATTTACAGCTCAAGAGTGGCCAAGACACCAAGAGTGCAGAGGTACCGCAGATGTCACGTCAACTTCGTGGCCCATGGCGTGATATTTCCACCCAAAGCCACCAAGAGGAAGTTCAAAAACGACTCCGAGGCTATAAAGGGAGGGCCATTGGGCCTTTGTAACCAGGGAAGTCAACATGACTTGTTTTCACTTCAAAAAGACTGATCAAAATACAAACTATTTTCCACATGTGGTCTTGCCACCTTTGCGTAGAGGGCTACACCATAGGAGAGAGATGGCAAATAAAGCCGGATATAACACATTTAGTTATAACTCAATTCCCCAAATTCAAACAATTTTCTTAGCCTCACATATGTACATCTGGATAAAGCACTATACTTCTTAGGTAGAAATACTCATATTTTTCCTCTATTAAATTAAAAATACTAATGCAAATTCTACATGTGACATTCATAAGAAGCCAAGATAAAAGAGTCAACTTTAGTTTGAAATCAAACAATACCGTCTCATAGTTACTTTCTCAAGTTCCTTAGATTAGTAACATATGTCCAAACAAAATAAAACAAGAAAAGCCTTCCATGACGTGACACTTTGCCTATCAGTAAACTTTCAAACTTTGCAACTCTTTCAACATCTGACAGCATGTCTACTTGGTTCGTGCTTGGGATGTGCATCAGTGGTTCACAGCAAAGATGAGAGAGTGAGGGAGAAGGGAAGGGGGACACGAAGGGAAATATAAAACCATGACAGAGAAATGGGGTGTAGGATCGAACTCTTCCTGGTTTACAGAGCACTGTGATCCGGGAAAACTGGGCTGTAAGAACAACAGTTTAGCCCAGCACGGTGCTGTCACCTGCTGCGCTAAGCACTCTGTAATTTGTCTATACTTCATGCCTAGGCATGAGGGAAGTACATTCTCATTACTCCCATTGAAAAGACACAAAAACCAAGACTGAGAGCTAAGAACTGTGTCCCTGATGGCAGCCAGCAAGTTACAGGGCTAGTCCATGACCACAGTCCAACTCCTAACCCTGAGAAGTGGTGCTAGCCAAACGTGAAGGCACCAGAGCCCCCCGGGAACCTGTGTGTACTACCCAATCCCTCCGGCATCCAAACTGACCAAGAATCCCCGCAGCTTCTTAAAGAGCTCCTGCATGGAATCAGATGTGACAGAATGATAAATGGCTCTGCAAACCCAAAATGCTTCATAAATATTCTTCTTCCCACAAGCATCTGCTAAGGCTTTCCCTCAGAAAGCAGTCAGACACATGATTGGCATGACTTCCACAGCAGCGGTCCTTCACGCCACTTCTTCTCGAGACAGTCAAGTGAAGGAAAGGCAATGATTTTTTAAAAAATAAAGAAAAACAGGTGCTGTTAGCTGTGAGATTGCAGCCCCTAAAACTTTCGGGGAAGCTACACGTATGAAGTCTCACCAGCATGACTGTCTAAATGAGACCTGAACAAGGACAGTACCAACAAACATTTTAATACTAAAGGGGTAAATCTCGCAGGGCCCCAATCATATGCACCCAAGTAACATTTTATGGACTGAGCAGATTGTATTTATATATTTAAGAAGTGTGTGTGTGTGTGTGTGTGTGTGTAACAACTAAAGAAAAAGAGGCCATGAAATGGGGGAGGGGTGCATGAAAGGGGCTGGAGGGAGGAAAAGGAAAGGGGAAAATGATGTAATGATATAATTTCAAACAATGTTTAAAGGTGCCATCATAAAGAAAATGAGAACTGGTAAGTTAGACCTCACCAAAATAAAGAAGATGCACTTACAAAAAGCCACTATTACGAGAATGAAAAGGCAGAGGCTGAGAATGTGGCTGAGCTGGGAGGGTGTCTAGGGTATGAGGCCCTGCTGCAATACCAATACCAATACCACATAAACCAAACACAATGGAGCACAGCTGCAGTCAGTGCTGCCACAGGGGACAGAGAGGCCGAAGAACCAGCTCAGCCACCTTCAGTGACTTCAAGGCCAGCCTGTGCTGTGTGTGTCCCTGTCTCAAAAAATAAAATATCGCAAATCAAAAAAGTGAGAATGAAAGTGAAAGAAATATTTTTAATATATATCTCCAACAAGACTCATATTCCAGATATGTGAAGAATACTGACAAATGGAGAAAATTAACAACAAAAATCCAATAAAAATCTTAATAGTCACTTCATAAAAGAGTATATCTAAAGGCTGGAGAGTTGGCTCAGCAGTTAAGGGAGCGTGCTGTCCTTCAGACGACTTCAGCTCATTCATAGCACCCATGTCATGCAGCTCGTGACTGTCTTTAACTCCAGCTCCACAGGATCCAATGCTCTCTTCTGGCCTCCATACTTACATACACATGGCATTCATGCACACATGCCAAAGCACATATGCACAGAGAGAGAGAGAGAGAGAAGATGAAAAAGGGAGAAGGGAGATCCAAATGGCCAAAAGACTTACGAAGTAGGAGTCAAATGACTCCTCGTTGAGGGAATGTAATTTAAAAACAGAATGAGCTACACCCAGTACCTCCTGAATGATGAACATTTTATTCATAATATCCAAAACAACAGAAATAAAAATGTCTATCACAAGAGGATACACACTTGTTGTCTAAATGCCGGGACACCACACGACAACAACTAAAAACCTCAACTAGCGCTGCGCAGAGTGGCAGGCAGGGCTGTCGCAGAGTGACGGTGAGGAAAGGCCTACAGACCATGTGACTACACCTGCACTGAAGAAGCTCACACACGTCAGAAACGTGATTCTGCCTTCAAGAAGGAGTATGGCAATATC